GAGTCTTTTTCCTTGAACTGCCTGTTATCGTGTGAGAAAAGCAGCCAGATGACAAAGAGCCTGTCCATGGTGAGGGGGATAATGGCAACAAGGAGCTGACACTAAACTTCTGAGGTCTTTTTCCTGTTATTTTATCCACATTGTTGCCTGTGACTGTAGTTTCCCCTGGACATTAACTGGTGCTTTCATCCTCTTTGAGCACGCAAGTACAAATTGGAGCCAGATCTGATGTGTGTGACAGCTTATCACATGAAAACGTGGGGTTTTCTCACTTACGTTGCAGAAAAACAACATCTGAGCACGTTCAGTGGAATTATTTTGGTGTTTCCCCCCTTGTTACTTGAGTGTCGAAGTTTAATGGGTAAATTGTGACAATAAGGATGATTTTCACTGTCATATGCAGAATATCTTGTATTTCTGAGCAGCTTGTATCAAGCTGTGTGATAGAAGCTTTGTAAGTTATACTTACAGAAGGACATCAGTTTCACTTCTGCCCAGGCATGTTTCCTCAGCTCTGCAAGTGCTCAGGGCTTGGAAAGTGGATAAAAATCCCTGTCCAAGCGGGAATCAGGAGTTGGGTGAGGGCTCTGCTTTGTCAAACTTCACTTTAACAGGTTTCTGTACAGAGAAAGAGGCATTTACACAGGTCAGCATTTACCATCGAATGTATAGAAATACTCAAAATAGGTTAAAAACTTACTATTTATATCATACATATATGCATTATGATTAAATATTTTAATATTCATTATTTTTCTTAATAACATCATATTCTATTTAATTATTGCACGTAAGTGTTTGATATAAATATTTAAATACAAAAAGGTTGATGAACTATAAACTGCTACTAGAAATTAATCCCTCACCTAAGTAAGCCCAGACTAAAAGGTTCAGAGGATGCACTGATTTCTCTGTATTTAGAGTAGTCTGTGCTTCTAATACAGACCAGAGGAAGGTGACTGGTTTTAACTATAACTTTGAACCTAAGTATAAAAAGAAAGGTAAGATTTAATTTTACCAGTGTCTAAAGCATTAGAAGTCATTGAGGAGGAGAAATACAGCCATCGGGGTAAAGAAATGTTCAGCAGAGCTGTACATCCCCTGTGTGACTTGACACATCTTGTGTGTGGCCAACACAACTAAACCTGATTTTACTGCTTTCCCCCCCACCCCAATTGTTGTTAAAATAAGGTCTGAGGTATAATACTCGTATTTGAGGTTGATACTGAAGATTTAATTTGAAGTAAAGGGGAAGTCTGTGACATAAAGTCTGTCTTCTTGTGGGTTGAACTTAACACTGTTTCTTTTGTGTTTCAAGTATAATGAGCTGAAATTGGCTCATACCAGATTGATTTTATTGTAACTTACAGACCACTCTGTTAGTAGTCACTTTTCTACAGTGAGGAAACACTGGTTAAGCAAAGCTCTGCATCATTTCTAACAGTGAGAGCAGAGAGCAGAAGTGATGCTTGAAAGAAGCGGCTACTTAAGTAATAGATCTTTGTGTATATCACATTGAAAAGGTCTATGAAATCAATTTCTCTGTGTCAAAGTTGATTCAAAAGGTATTCCTTTTGGATCCCTAATGACAGCAGTTTTTCTCTATTTCTAGTTACAATAGAAGACATTATAGATTGTTTGAATGAGCTGGATGTGAGTGGAGCTGCTGTCATAGCTGAGGGGAATAAGATTAATTAATTTCAGTCAGAATCATGGAATCCCAGACTGGTTTGTGTTGGAAAAGACCCTAAAGCTCCTCCAGCTCCAACCTCTGCCACGGGCAGGGACACCTTCCACTAGAGCAGGTTAAAAAGCAGAATGTGATTATATAAAACAGCAATAGATTGGTTTGGGTTTAACTTTATCCTATATACAGAGGTTTGTGTAACCCATTAGTAGTGGCTGTAGCTCCTTATTTATCACTCTGAGTGGGAAAATACCCTGTATGTGAATACTCTTTCTTGTTAAAGATGGGGGGTGATGTGTTTGTAACGTTGAAAACTCACTGAAATCCAAATCAGTCCTAGCTCACTGTTGCCTAAACTTATAGTAAATAACCTTTATAGTATTAGACTAAAATGAGCACCAAACTTGACTCTTACAACTGCTCTTTAGCTATGAGTGGTGTGAAAAATGTCATGCATAGTCCTTCCTCCTCCCGAGCAGCAATGATCACAAAGCTGAGCTTGCTTCTCACCACTGCCATGCTAACCTCTTATTTCACCTCTCTTAAAGAAATGCCTGTGATTTTTAGGTGGGTGATTTTTAGGTGTCGGTGATTTGCATGCAATAAATAATCACTCCTTTTTTTCCCCTGGGTTGAACTATTTTTAGTCATGAGCTACAAAAATAAGGAGCTTTTAGGCTCAAGACCCAGCTGCTTTTTTGCTCTTAAAGCTGTCCATGTGCCATCTGCATCCAGAAATAACGGCTTAAATAAGAGAAACTCTGTGTTTGTCCCTGTCTAAGGCAACTTCTGCACCTGCAACAACATTTCAGACCAAACTGGAGAAGCAACATGTATCTGCAGCCTAAATGCGTGTTAATTTAAGAAACAGCATCATTAGTCTCTAAGCTGGACACATCTAGAACTTTCTGTTGGTTTACTGATTGAATTTTTAGCACTAAACACTGCTTTCACTGTAATCCAAACCCTGAGAGAACAGCACAACGTCCATCTATGTTTAGGTCAGGTTTTTTGCCTCTTCCTTCATTCCTTGGCCATGGTCAGTGGCTTTGGTTTACCACTTTTTTGGGAAGAGGTTAAATTGAGTCTTTGGACATCTGGACATCTTGCCACCACCAAGTTCCAGCCCTGAAAGCACTTAAATGCTTAATTTAGTAAAAGCAGGTTAGTACCAGACCCTTCAGTTCCCCATCTTTTTCCCTACAATCTGCTTTCATATGTTTCTCTG